CCGCCACCTCCTCCGCCTCCTCATGTTCCTCCTCCACCTCCCCCTCCTTCTCCACTGCACAAAGCCCCCCCCTATGATTGCGCATCTTGCGACGAGGTCACTTCGGGGATCAATGGACGACCAGCAAGGAGGATGGAACATAACTCCGCGCAGCGAGGAGGGACGCGTAGGAGGGGCAGGACGTCAGACACGGCGCGCGCACGCCCAGCTTGCCCGCCTCCCTCCTCTTCTGCCGCACCCCCCCCGCCCGCTCTCCACCCCCCCTTTGATATCCGACGCAGTGCTTTTGCGCGCAGCGTGGATCCCTGGCGGTCCGCACCGCTTCCCTGGGCTCGGTCCCCAGACCCCCGACGCAATGTTTTTTTTATTACGTCGACCCCCAGAGGTCCTGACCCTTTCCCCATGACCGGCGTCGCATCCTGAGCCGTTTCTTGACGCTCCCGAGGCCCGGTGAGGGCCCCCGGAGGCCGCAACTTAGGAAAAACCTCCCGTCATGATTTTCTCATTACTCGAGGGGGGCTCGGTCTTGCATCCCGAGCCCATGTGCTGACGGCCCCCGGGACCCCGGGCCAGGGCCCTCGGAGGCCGAGCGCTGCCCAGAAGCCACCCCTCGTGCTCTCGCTGCCCCCCCTCCGCGTGGGCCCTCTCCCTCGCCCTGCCTCCCTCGCCCCCCGCGGCGGCTCTGCGGCACAGGCGTGCCGCCCGCGTCCTTCGTGACTCCTTCCCTCGCCTCCCTTGCTCCTTCCGCCGCTCTGTCTCTGGCGGGGGCTGGAACAGGAGCGTGCCTTCTGCCATACCCAGGCATCCGCCATATGATTGTTGTTCAATCCGCGGCCCCAGGGCTCCCGGATCCATGTTTCATGCCCCCCGCGGCGGCTCTGAGGCACAGGCGTGCCGCCTGCTTCCTTCGTGACTCGTTCCCTCGCCTCCCTTGCTCCTTCCGCGTTCTAGTCTGCGGGTGGGGTCCGAGAGTGTTCAAGACCTCACCATTTGAGGCGGAGTTAAATCACGATTTAACTCACTACAGTTCCAGTCCTGCTGGTGTGAGTCCTTGTTGATGTTGAATATCTGGCAGGGGCTGGAGCAGGAGCGTGACTTCTACCATACCCAGGCATCCGCCATATGATTAGTTGTTCAATCCGCGGCCCCAGGGGTCCCGAACCCTTCCCCCCGGGTGTGGTTTTTCGTCCCGGATCCATGTTTGATGCCCCCCCCCGGGCCTGATAACGGGCCCTGGAGGCCGAAACCCAGGAAAAGCCGCCGGAGTGAAAACATCATGTCTTCGGATCTCTGGGCATCGCACGCGGATGATCGCCCCCGAGCCAAGCCCTCGCTCCAGGACGACGAGGGCGGCCCCAAAACCCCGACGCTGCGCGCTCTTTTCACAAGCCGTCGACCCGCTCCTCTGGCTCGCGACTCGGCTGCTGCCCGCCTCTGGGGGCTCGCTCGCCGCCCCGCCTCCCAGGAGGAGTAAGAGGAGGAGGAGGAGGAGGAGGAGGAGGAGGAGGAGGAGGAGGAGGAGGAGCAGGAGGAGGAGGAGGAGGAGGAGGAGGAGGAGGAGGCCGCAACTGGCTCGACTCGTGCTGCGCCTCCTGCGCCTGCAGAAGCCTCGGCCGCTGGGCGTGGCCGTGCTGCCGCTCCTGCGCCCCCCCGGCCAGGCTGCCTCGGCACAGGCCGACCGCTCCTGACCGCTCCCCGCGGAGGTCTCCGTGCAGCGAGTGCCCTGCGTGCCTTCCCTCCCCAGATGTCTTGGGCCGCCCTGGCCTCGGATCCGCCCTGGCATCGGATCCGCCCTGGCCTCGGATCCGCCGTGCGTCTTGGGCGATTTTTCGCAGGTCGGGCGGGCATCCCCGCCCCAGTGTTCGAGCTCCTTGGACTTCGACTTCTCCGCCCTGCTTTGCGGTCCTGGTTTCCGCCGCGCCTCAGCGGAAGTGTCCGGCCTGCTTTATCCGAGGCGGGCAGTTCCGCACCACTTGGTGCTTGGGGTGGATATTCGACACAGGCCCAGACATGATGGCGTCGTAAAAACATCAGAACGGGAGGTGGTTCGCTATGTTCGACCTCTAGAGGCCATCGCTGGGCCCCAGGACCGTCACAAAACAACTCGGGATGAAGAACCAGCCCCGGGGAAAGGGTCTGGACTTCAGGGACGCCGTCCTGAAAAAATTAGGACGTCGCGTGTCTGGGTTGTTCTCTCCGCGGCCGCTCTCTGGCCTCTTCCCCCTCCCGGCCTCCTGGGGCGCGCGTGCGGGTCGCCGCAAGAAAAACGGCCTGTCGCGGCGCGGGTGGGGGGTCTGGGGATGACGCCCCCTCCCCCGCCTTCGATGAGCAGCGACGTGACGACGACGATCGCGACGTGATCGAAGCTGCTGTGTCCCGGATGGGTGCTCCCTGAGGCAGCCTGGGTGCCAAAGCGGTGGTCGTCCCACTGTCCGCAGGAGCCTGCGTCGATATGGGCATGGACTGCCGTGGCCGCGGCTCCGCGGCAGAAACCAACAGTCTATCGCAACACGCTGGCCAGCGGTCGCGCAGTAGTCACGCGCGCCCTGGACCAGCGGAGCGATGGAAGGCCAGCGGTCGCGCGCGCTCTGGACCCGAGAAACGGAGGTAGGGAGCTGCGCCTTGCCGTTGGACTCGTTGGCTCGGTGCCGTCGCCGGTGTCGGCGTCGTCGACGTCCGTGCCAACGTCGGCGTCAGCCTCGGCGCCCACGTCGGCGCCGACGTCGGCGCATGCCGGCGCCGGCATCGGCGTCCACGTCCGCGCCGACGTCCGCGCCCAGGCCCGCGCCGACGTCCGCGTCAACGTCGGCGTCGTCGGCGTCGTCGTCGGCGTCGGCGTCGGCGTCGTCGTCGTCGTCGTCGGCGTCGGCGTCGTCGTCGTCGGCGTCGAGGCCTCCGCCCTGCAGGGCGGCAGGCCCGCGCCGCGCCCCCCCCCCGCGCCCCGCCTGCAGGGCGGCAGGCCCGTGACGCCGGCGAGCCCCGCGGGCCCCCGCCCCGCGCCGCGGCCGACGCGGAGGCTCTCCCGCGCGCCGGCGCGCCGCGCGCCGGCCTGCCGCCGCCTCCAGCAGCCCTCCTGTCCTCCCCTTCCTGGTGCTCCTCCTCCTCCTCCTCCTCCTCCCTGCTCCTCCTCCTCCTCCTCCTCCTTCCTCCTGCTCCCCTCCTCCTCCTCCTCCTCCTCTCCCTGCTCCTCCTCCTCCTGCTCCTCCTACTCCTCCTCCTCCTCCTCCTCCTCCCCTCCTGCTCCTCCTCCTCCTCCTCCTCTCCTCCTGCTCCTCCTCCTCCTCCTCCGCCTCCTCCTCCTCCTCCTCCTCCTCCTCCTCCTGCTCCCTCCTCCTCCTCCTCCTGCTCCTATCTCCTCCTCCTCCTCCTCCTCCTCCTCCTCCTCCTCGTGCTCCTCCTCCTCCTCCTCCGCCGCCTCCTCCTCCTCCTCCCCGGCCCGGGGCGGCGACCACCCCCCGGGGCTGCCCGCCACTCGGCGGCGGGCGAGGGGAGAACATGAGAAGGAGACGGCCTTCTCGGGAGGCGGCGGGGCCTCTCAGAAGGCCTCCGGCCTGCTGCAAAGGTTTTTGCGTGTCTTCACGGGAGGCTCAGGAAACTGCTCAGAAGGCCGGGGGACGTCCGAGAAGGCCTGTTTCTTCTCGCGTCCCCGGGCTCGCCGCCGACACGCTTCGGGGCGGCCCTCCGCGGCACCGGGGTGAGCCCTCCCCTCTGCCCAGGGAGCGGGGCTCGACTTCTGTCGAGGGAGGGAAACAAAAACGCCACAGACCTCGGAGGTCGGAGCTCAAAGTCTTCGGCCGCTCTCGTGGGTGACCCTTCGTTGTTCTCCAGCCTCGGGGCGCCTTCCGCAGCTGCGCCCTCGCCGAGGGCGTTCCGTGGGCGCCCAGGATCGTGCCGGACGGCCGCCCGACCCAGACTCTGCATTCAGCTAGATTTTTAAAGATTGCATTAGCGCCCCAAATCGTAACGAAACGTTAACGAAATTGGCGTTATGCGCGAAGCGTTTGTATTCCGACGCTGATCATGTTTCGCTAGCGCTAAAGAAAACTACGTTATACGTATGTGCGTTTCGAGGTAATTACAGGGGCTGGCTCAGCGCGGCCCGCCCTGGCCTCGGATCCGCCGTGCATCTTGGGCGACTCTTCGCAGGTCGGGCGGGCCTCCCCGCCCCAGTGTTCTGTCGGGCCTGTCCCCCCTACAGGAGGATATTCGACGACAAATGCAAAGTACCCAAAACATAGTCCAAACGTAGCCCAAGAATCGTCTGGGGGGCTTTTTTTGTTTTTGTTTTTTTTGACCATTTGGGGGTATTCTTGGGAGTATTTTTTATTTTTCGTTGACAATCCCCCTGTAGGGGGACATAGGGGGACAGGCCCGACCTAACCCCAGTGTTCGGGCTCCTTGGACGTCGACTCCTCCGCCCTGCTTTGCGGTCCTGGTTTCCGCCGCGCCTCAGCGGAAGTGGTCGGCCTGCTTTATCCGAGGCGGCCAGTCCCGCACTATACTTGGTGCTTGGGGTGGATATGCGACACAGGCCCAGACATGATGGCGTCGTAAAAGACATCCGAACGGGAGGTGTTTCGCTATGTTCGACCTCCAGAGGCCCTCGCTGGGCCCCAGGACCGTCAAGAAACGACTCGGGATGAAGAACCGGCCCCGGGGAAAGGGTCGGGACTTCCAGGGACGCCGTCCTGAGAAAATCAGGACGCCGCATGTCTGGGGGCTGAGGTCGGGAAAGCAACCAAAGTACGGCGCCTCCGAAAGCAGGGCAGAGGGCGTGGTTTGCGCCCTGCGCCGCTGGGGCCCTTGGGGGGCGCCACGCCGCCGTCGTCGGGGCGCGGCCAAGAGTTCCGTCGAGGACCTCGCCCGCCCGCCCCCCCCCCGGCGCGGGGTGCAGACCACACCGACGGCGAAGCACGCCCTCCGGAGTCGCCGAACCGGGGCGGGGGGGGGGGGCGAGCGGGGCGGGGGGGGGAGGAGGTCGGAGGGAGGCCAGGCGGCGCCACGACTCACCACCAGGGGCGCCACCTCCAGCCCCAGACCCCCGACGCAATGTTTTTTCATGACGCCGACCCCCAGAAGTCCCGACCCTTTCCCCATGACCGGCTTCGCATCCTGAGCCGTTTTTTGACGCTCCCGAGGCCCGGTGAGGGCCCCCGGAGGCCGAAAATTAGGAAAAACCTCCCGCCATGATTTTTTCATTGCTCGAGGGGGCCTGGGGCCGAGGGTGCCGCGGGGGGGGTCCCGAGGGGCGGCCGCACCGCCAGGAGGCGCCCTCCCCGGGCGCCTCGCGGCGGTGGTGGCGTCGCTCAGCTCTGCTCCCGGGGAGGGCAGGGGCGAGGACGGGGAGAAGTCGGGTCGCGGAGGGCGGGGAGGGCGGGGAGGGCGGGGAGGGGAGGCCGCGGTCGGGGAGGTCGGGGGGGGGGGGGCGAGGGCGGGGCAAAGTCGGTGAGAGGGGGGGTCGCGGAGGGTCGGGGAGGTCGGGGAGGGGAGGGCGAGGGCGGGGAAGTCGGGGAGGGGAGGGCGAGGGCGGGGAGGTCGGGGAGGTCGGCGAGGGCGGGGGGGTCGGGGCCCCGCAGGAGAGAACCTCCCGTGCCGCGCAGCGCCCTGGCACCTCGCTCGTCGCCGCTCGAGTCGCCCGCTCGCCGTCGCCTCGCCGCGTGAGTCGCCCGCTCGCTCGCTCGTCGTTGCTTCCCCCTCGCTCGTCGCTCGCTCGCTCGCTCGCTGCCTCGTCGCTCGTCGCTGCTTGCCCCTCGCTCGTCCCTCGCTCGTCGCTCGCTCGTCGCTCGCTCGTCGCTCGCTCGTCGCTCGCTCGTCGTCGCCTCGTCGCTCGCTCGTCGCTCGCCTCGTCGTCGCCTCGTCGCTCGTCGCTGCTTGCCTCGTCGCTCGTCGCTTGCTCGTCGCTGCTTGCCTCGCTCGTCGTCGCTCCGTCGCTCGTCGCTGCCTGCACGCGCGTGCTGCCGCAGCCGCCTCCGTGACGGCGGTCCCCGAGGGGCCCGCCTTCTGCATGCTGCCGAAGGCCCTCCTCGAACCCAGCACTCGCAAGTACAGCAGCAGCTCGACCATATGAAACCTTCCACGAGAAACCCAACCCTGTGTGGAAGATGTCTCAGGCCAGGCCGGTGGGGGCGCCCGCAGTTGTCCTCTTAGTTGTCCTCTTCTCTCACCTCTCTGTGCGTGGCCCTCAAGGCGCACGCGTCTCTGTGGGGTGTCCTGCGGCCAAGTGCCTTGTGCAGGCGCCATTCCACAGGGGGTGGGTATATGCTGACTGGTTGTCTTGCTCGCTCATCCCTCTTCACATCCTGAGACCCCAGGACGCCCATGGATATCTGGTGTGGGAACGCCGCGCCTTCCTCAGCAACACCACCGAAGCCCAGGAAACCCGGGGGCACCCCGGAGGCGCGCCGAGGTGTTTCCTGGCGTGGCCTCCCGCTGCAGCTGCTGCAGCCCCGCAGCCTCCGACCGGTGTGCGGCCATGGCCGCTGCCGCGGCGGAGCGCGCGGCGCCGCGGAGTGGCCCCCGTGGGGGGGGGGTCGTGCACCCCCCGCCCAGCCTCTCTCACCGAGCGCGCTCCGCTGCTCGCAGAGTGCCTACTCGCAGGCGTCCGAACAGGAGCAGGTCTCACCGAGCGCGCTCCGCTGCTCGCAGAGTGCCTACTCGCAGGCGTCCGAGCAGGAGCAGGTCTTCCGATGTGTAGTGGGTCGTGCACCCCCCGCCCAGCCTCTCTCACCGAGCGCGCTCCGCTGCTCGCAGAGTGCCTTATTACATCTAATTACTCGCAGGCGTCCGAACAGGAGCAGGTCTTCCGATCTGTAGTGGGTCGTGCACCCCCCGCCCAGCCTCTCTCACCGAGCGCGCTCCGCTGCTCGCAGAGTGCATAATTACTCGCAGGCGTCCGAACAAGAGCAGGTCTTCCAGTGTGTAGTGGGTCGTGCCCCCCCCCGCCCAGCCTCTCTCACCGAGCGCGCTCCGCTGCTCGCAGAGTGCCTACCCGCAGGCGTCCGAACAAGAGCTGGTCTTCCGATGTGTAGTGGGTCGTGCACCCCCCGCCCAGCCTCTCTCACCGAGCGCGCTCCGCTGCTCGCAGAGTGCCTAATTACTCGCAGGCGTCCGAACAGGATCTGATATTCCGATGTGTAGTGGGTCGTACGCTCCCCCGTGGCGGGTGCCGGCCATTTGCGAGTGGCGAGTCGTGGAGCGCGTTTGCCGACCCTCGGACATCGAGGCGCCGGGCGCTGTGCAGCCCCCCCGCCACGTCCTCGAGCGGCGCCTCGTCGCGGCGGCCTCCTCGCGCGCAGCCTGCCTGCTGCAATGGATGGGGGGGGGGCGAGGTCAGCCCCTCCCCCCTTTTCCGGGGAAGCGTGTTCCACTTCGGCTGCGGGGCTTTGCCCTCTCTTGGCCTTGACGTGAGGCCCCTCCTTCTGCCTTCCCCCCTCTGTCAATTAAAGCTGTGTGCGGCCCGCTTAGCTTCGACCGGAAGAGGCTCGCTCTCGACCCGCGGATCAAAAAACTCCCATTTCGGCTGAAGAAGAAACACGCCGTAGTCATGAGCTTTCGGAGCTCCGCGCAGGTGAGCGCCGCCCCTGGCGCGCTCCGCGCGCCGCGGAGCGGGCCTCAGCGCAGATCCAGGAGATCCGCGCGAAGGTCCGACAGCTTCTGCCGATGCCGTGCTCTCTTCCTCTGGGGCAGGCCTTTCCGCTTAGATTCGTTGAGATAGAGCGCGCGCACATTCAGTGCTGCGGGGGGGCCGCCGGGACCAGACCTTTCATCCTCACCGAGCGCGTTCCGCTCTACTCCCAAACGTTCGAAAAACACACTCCCGCCTCGATCGAATCGATCGTCAATCCCCCCCGGCGGATAGGGGCCCTTGCGAGTAGTTACGTTGCGAGTCTTGGAACGCGCTTGTCTAAATCCATAGGCACGCTCACGGCGATGCAGGAAACGGCGATGTAGGTTCCGGTGTCGCAGGCGGGGGCGCTTCGTGGCCGACCCAGTTGTAGGAACGCGTTGTTCGTGCTTTCCTGCACTCCGTGCTGCGCGAGTTCGGCGTCGCAAGAACCGGATGAGGCGTTCCAAAAAGGGCCTTGCCTTCGAACATCGAAGGAGCTGTAATCTCTTCCTCGGCGAAAGGCGGCGGAAGGGCGGCGAAAGTAAAGCGAAACCGCCTCCGCCAGCGGATGCTGGCGGAAGGGCGGCGGAAGGTGGCGGAAGTAGAAAGTGCCCCCCCAAGAGATGACAACATCTTGGGGCTCAGGGCTTCCGAAACCGGCCACATTCCCAACATCGCCGTTGACCAATATCGCCGCTAGCGTGGCCTGGATTCGCATCGGCAGCTCTTCGTTTCGGGCTGATCTGGGCGGGATCCACGCAGAGCTGTGTGATGAGCGGAGGAGGAGGAGGAGGAGGAGGAGGAGGAGGAGGAGGAGGAAGAGGAGCAGGAGCAGGAGGAGGAGGAGAGGCGGAGGAGGAGCAGGAGGAGGAGCAGGGAGGAGGAGCAGGAGGAAGGAGGAGCAGCAGGAGCATGAGGCAGGAGGAGGAGGAGGGAGGAGGAGGAGGGAGGAGGGGGGGGCAGAGGGAGGTCCCCCAGAAGAGCACAGAGACCCTAACAGACAGCACCTGGCATTATACCACTCCGCAGCGCTCCCGTGGATCGACCAGCACGGCCTGCCGTCTCTCCCCAGGACCGCCGCCTGCCGCGACCCTTGGCTCTCGCCTGTCCTGACGACGGCGTCCTTCCCTTGTCCGACCTTCCTCCTCCGGCAGCGGCGGCCCTTCCTCCTCTTCCCTCCGTCCCCCTCCTCCTCCCTCCTCTCTCCTCCTCCTCCTCCTCCTCCTCCTCCTCCTCCTCCTCCTCCTCCTCCTTCCTCCTCCCTCCTCCCTCCTCCTCACCCCTCTCGCCTTCCCGTTCCTCCTCCTCCTCCTCCTCCCCTCCTCCCTCCTCCTCCTCCTCCTCCTCCTCCTCCCCTCTCCTCCTCCTCCTCCTCCCCCTCCTCTCCGCCTCCTCCTCCTCCTCCTCCTCTCCTCTTCTGTCCTCCTCCTTCTCGCTTTCCTCGTCATACTTCCTTCATCCCTCCTCCTCCTCCTCCTCCTCCTCGCTCCTGCTTCCTCCCTCCTTGCTCCTTCTTCTCCTCCCCATCCTCCTCCCTCTCGCTTCCATCGCTCGTTCCTTCCTCCCCCCTCCTCCTCCCCGCTCCTGCTTCCTCCCGGTCCCCAGGGGGGCCGACGTGGCGCCCTGGCCAGGGCAGGAGCCACGGGCCACGCCCTCCTGCCGCCTATGGGCGGCCAGAGTCGCATCCTGGCCCTGGGCCAACTCGTTCGGCCACCCTTAGGGGGCCACATGCGAACCCTACCCCTACCCCCCGCGATTTTTTGAGGGGGAGGGGGGGGTTCACTTCGCTCGGGACCTCCCGCACGAAGTGAGCCCCACCCTCCCCCTCGGAAATCGTGGGGGGCAGGGGCAGGGTTCGCGTGTGGCCCCCTAGCCCTGGCTCCTCCCCTGAGATCCGACGCTGCGAGGAGACAACAACAAAAAACAGCACCACGAGGAAGCACGAGACCGGCGCCGCAGGCCCCCCCCTCTTTCCTGCGCAGCTTCCGCGCGCCGGAGATCGGCCCGCGGTGGCCCCCGGACCGGAGCCTGGGCGGAAGCGCCCGGTGCGCTCCTGCCGTGTGGCCCAGCCGCGCGTGTAGCCGGGAGGGGAAACTCCGAAGGCCAGCAGTCCCGTGGCGTGTTAGGAGGTCGGTCAAATTCCAGTCGGGGCCCTGAAGAAGGAACCCTTTTGGTTGGGGAGGGGCTCCGCGTTCCTCAAGTGTTTCACAGCTTGCCTCAGGTTTTCCTGGTGTTTTCGATCGGAGGTCGCTCCTGCTGTGTGGCCCAGCCGCTTGTGTGGCTGGGAGGAAAACCCGAAGGCCATCAGTCTCATGGCGTGTCATTCGGAGGTGGATAGACCTCCTACCCTGACACGTCGATGAAGGAATTGGCAGTTTTCGGTTCGCGAGCGGGCGTCGCGGCCGTGACTTTTGCGGGCCCGGGTCCGTCGGTTTCGGCCCCAGGCCGCTTTCACTAAGGTCGGGGGAGCGTAAGACCCGGGTTTGCCGGGACTCGGGTTCGCCATCGTTTTTTGACGACCGCGACTCGGATTTTGACGAGGAGGAGTTTTGTGGGATGTCTGCAGCGGGAGGCCTCGTCAAAATGCAGGCTCGGCCTCGTCATTTTTTTGACGACCTCGTCGGGGATTTCCGAGTCCCCCGTACCCGGGTCTTACGTCTCCCCGATGGTTGCGGCACATCTGCGGGTCTTGACGGCAGGCGGCTGGCGACCAGGTGCCTCTTGCATGTCTCGCAGAGATCGAGACAGGTCGGTCTGCATCCAGCAGCAGCTGTACCCAGGGCGAGGAGGAGTCCCAGCACGCCTGCGCGAGGCGTTGGGGGCCCGCGGCCTGGGGTAGCCCCCTTTTCCCCGCACGCTGTGCTCAACCAGATAGTCCCAGATATCGGCGGCGAGCGAGGGGGGGAAGTGGGAAGGAAAAGGCTTTCTTAGAAGGCGGCCGGACTTCTCAGACGGCCCTCGCGCCTTCCGTGAAGTCGTCTGCGTCTTCGGGGCAGGCTTAGCAAACCCCTCAGAAGGCCGGGGGACTTCCGAGCCTCCTGAGAGGGCCTCGTCCTTCCTGCTTCCCCCCCAGGCTCGCCCCTGAAGATAGTCTTAAGTCGGGCGTGTCCCCCT